TTTTTTTTTTTTTTAAATATATCTTTATTGATTTCAGAGGGAGGAAGGGAGAGGGAGAGAGAGCTAAAAATATCAATGATGAGAGAGTCATTGATCGGCTGCCTCCTGCACGCCCCCAACTGGGGACCGAGTCTGCAACCCTGGCCACGTGCCCTGACCGGGAATCGAACCCCGATCGCCTGGATCCTAGGTCGATGCTCAACCGCTGAGCCACGCCCAGCTGGGCTCACCTCTCTTGATCAGTGTAGGGACAAGGGTATAACTGAGGCATGCTGAGGCCTGACCAGATGAAGCCTCTAAGTCCCCTGACCAGATTTCAGAGATGCAAATGCAGATTATTTATGGATGACCCTGGTGAATTTTGTCCCATGGGGAAGACCAGGGGAGGGCAAGGGGGGAAGGTACAGGGTATGACTAAAGCATAAGGCAGGACCAGCCAAGGAATGGGGGTGGAATCAGAGAGGAATTGGGTGCGCTAGGACCAAAGGCAACTAATGAACAGAGAAAGGAAGTCCAATGAGATATGCTCTGGGAGAAAAGAATCTAAACAGGAAAGTGGGGAGGTCAAGGGTTTAGTGAATGACTACAACAGTCTCTGGGCAAGAGGGAAAAAGGGAGGAGAGGAAGTCAAAGGAAGAGGGGAAGAGCAGGGAAGGGGGGAGGAGAGGAGGGTATCGGAGGAGCCCCTTGTGGCACAAAACATGTCAGCCAGGGAGGAACGGGAGGTGGGAATCCCAGGCTGAACCTGAACGTGATTGCTATTTTTTTCCTGAGGGTTCCCCTGCACAGGCTGAGTTTAACTGCTGAAAGTATCTTGGCTGTTGACTTACAAAACCAAAAGTGAGCTGTGTGGGCCATTTTGTATGTGATTTGTTGATTAGTTGACCCTGGAGAGCCCTCTGCTTCTGCCTCTCTACCTTGGCTGTTGTAGGCAGGATTGGCAGCGTCTGGAAAAACAACTGGTTGGGCTCAGCCTTCCCTTGGTCCTCAAGGACAGCAGCCCTGGGTGTGTATAGCAAGCATTGGCCCCGTTATAGGAAAACATAGCCAATGTGGATGAGTGCAGAGTTTTGGGCCCATCGCATAGGGTGTGTTCTTGGGGGGTTGGAAAGTGACGTGGGTTGGGGTGATGTGCTGTCCTTGGGCTGTGAATCTAGCAAAGAGGGCCTCACACAGAGATTCAGCTTGTAGTCTTGGCCTCCCTGGTGCCAGGTTGGAATCTAAACCCTTCCAAACTTATCTGGTGCTAAAAAGTACCCGGGGTGTTGGTTAAATATAAAAGTTCCCAGGATGGACCCTGTACCTATTGCATCAGAACGGGTTGTTATAACAGCAAGTTTGGCAAATACTGCTAATTGAAATACTGCTAATCGTTGGGGCCGTGGTGGGTGGAGGTGGAGCTAAAGTTGCCATGTAAAATACAGGACACCCAGTTAAATTTTAATTAAAGAACAAATAACTTTTAGTATAAGAATGTCTCAAGTATTTGCTGAATTTGGCAACCCTAAGGTGGAGGGAAATACTGGGAATTTTTATATAGTCCTGAGTTCACATCAGGAGGTAGACCAGCTCACACCCAGCATGACATCCAAGGATGAACAACGGGGTTGGGTTTAGAGAAGTAGAAGCTTCCAAGAGGAACTGCTTATTTTCTTCCCTGCCTCTGTGGGGGAAGGGTTTAAGCCACTATGTAATTCTTTTTAGTTACTAACATGATTTCATTCTCCTCTGCTGCTTTTCTTTCTTTCTAGGCGACTTATTTTATCCCCTGACCGACCCCATGAGGTAGGTAGGGTAATGAAAGTTATTCATGCTGTACTTTTCCAATTTCCACAGTGGAGTTCCTGGAGAATGGGACTAACAGCATGTGTCCCTCTCCCAGGAGAGGGCAGGAGTCTGGGTCACAGAGCATGTGGGCCTGAGCCTCCCACCCCTCTGCTTCAATGTTCCCCTGGCTCTTGGTTATTTTTGCCCTTTTTGTGTAACATCTGATTTCATTGGGAACTGGAACTTTAGTATTGTGCCCTTCCTCCTTCCAGTTTCTCTCTGAGGAACCTGGAGACAGTCTTTCTACCTGCTTGGCCTGGATTATTAAGAAAGGGAATGCTGCCCAAGTGTGTTGAGGTCACCACCTTGGTATTCTGGGGCAGGAGGCTCTCAGGAAGGGCAGGCCTGCTATGTTCCTGACCTCTGATGTCAGTGACCACGAGGGGAGGGATGGAGTCAGGTTTTGTTTCTCAGTGTTTGTATTTCTAAGGAGATTCATAACAAATCATAAGGGCTGTCAGCAAGGCTTAGCACTTCAAACCTTCTTCTAATGAGCACTGTCACATTAGAAAATGGGGGTCAGGAAATCCCCCCTCCAAACTCCAAACATTCTCTCCCTTCACGGATGCAGCTTGAAGATGCAGGATGGCCTAGCTGCTCTCACTCAGTGTCCTGGTCTCACCCTTCCCTGTCTCCTTCAACATCTGCCTTAGTCCTGGAAAGACTCTGCTCCTCAGAGCATCTTGGTCGCTGCAGTCATTGCCTTTTTTGGAAGGGCTTCTCACTGGGGCTTAGTGGGCAGCTGGAGGCAGAGATAAGGTGAGGAGTTTTCTGAGTGAGAGAGAGACTGCTTCCTGAGGGAGAGGCTTCGGGAGATGGGCAGGGGCAGCAAGAGGAATTTGGGCACAAAAACATGAAATGTCAGGAAGTTCTGTGCTCTGTCATTCTGTCCTTGGCCAGAGCTGGGAGCAGAGAGGTCACATGTCTAGTTAGTGGCAGACCTAGAATTGAACCTGTTTCCTGATTTCCAGTGTTCTTTCCAATGCAGATGTCCCCCATTCGGGACTCAGATGTAAACACACAGAGCTCCGGAGGCTTGTGGAACACACACCAGGGTTTTTGGAAGGGTCATCAATTGGCTCTTTGTCCAGGGTGAGGGAGGGAAGCTTAAAGTGATAGGACAGGCTCTGGCCAGTGGCCCAGCATCATGGGATTTGCCCAAGCTTTTGAAGCTTATTTAAAATTACTGTATCCAGGAATCATTTATTGAATACTTACCCTGTGGCAGGCACCATGCTACGTGTTTTACGTGCATGGTCTTAGTCCTGTGTGACATCCCTGTGACGCTGGGGCTATTATTATCTTCATGGCATAGCTGGGGAAACAAGGTGTGGAGAGTTTTGGTGACTCATGCTGGTGACGGGCTAGGAAGAGGCAATGCTGAGATATAGCTTCAGCCAGTCTACTCCTGTGCACTTGGCCCCTACTCTCTGCTGCCTCCCAGCACTTCTTGCCCCATCGCCTCTGTGGGCAGTCCTGGGTCTGGTGCTGGGAACTGAAAGGGAACAGTCCCTGCCCTCGTGATCTCAGATCCTAGCCGGTGCCTTAACACAATGGCTTCCGAACTGACCCTGACCTCCAGAAAGAAGTGGATTATATATCATTATGTATTTTATATATTACACGCCACTCTCCAATATATAAATGTTTCACAAAAAATATTTACTTTTACTATTTATATACTTTGATACCTTCTATTTTAGTCTATTCTATGCTATTCTTTTCCGTTTTATTGCATTTTATTTGACAAATAGGTGGTTGAGACCCACTACATTGATTTTGGGGACCCACAGTGGGTTGTATTTCAGAATTTGAAAAGCAGTAGTTTAACAGGCATCATACTGTATTGGTTTTCTTCCTAGCTACCAGTGCGTGAGTGGGTACTCACGCAGCCTTCCTGCTGCCTCAGTTCTGTCCATCTGTACAAAGGACCACACGAGTTTATTTATTCTGGTTTAGCTCCAAAATGCTGGGTAATCTCTAGACCCTTGGGAGGCAGCAGAGCCCACAGGAGGCAGAGAACCACCATAGCTCCAGTCACAGGGCTGCCTCTTGGGCTCCTGTTTTACAGACCCTGCCTCTGGGCACGTCCCGCTGTAACCTGAAGGAGAATCTGCTGAAGGATAGGTGTGCCCCGGAGTCCATCGAGTTCCCCCTCAGTGAGGCCAACATCCTGGAGGCCAGGCCCCTCAGCGACAAGGGCTCTGGCGACAGCTCCCAGATCACTCAAGTCAGTCCCCAGAGGATTGCACTCCGACTCCGGCCAGGTAGGGATGGGGCCCATGGGGGGGACACCAGGCAGATGACACAGGGCGCGAGCTGGCGGTCCGATGGGGAAGCCTTGGGGGAGTAGCTCACTATGGAAACGGGGCAGGAAGAGACGGGTGCTGGCGAAGGTGTTGGCAGGAGAATGGAAGAAAGTGGGAGGTGGTGTGACTTGGAGTCAGAAGAGCTAAGTTTAAATCTTCACTATTTGACCTTGGGCAAGTTACTCAACCCTTCTAACGTAGCAGGGACTCAAAAAATGTTTGTCACTTCTTTCCCCCAGTCCCTATTTTATCCAGCTTGTAGCTTTGTGTTGAGGCTCAAGTGAGATATGAGAAAGTAAGTTGTAAATCCCTTTTCCATGTGAGATTGGGGCAGGGGCATGGGGGCAAAGAAAATAGGGCAGGAGACCTACGGAGGGAGGAAGGATTAAGCTAGAGACAGGCTTTCTGAAGCACTGATTGTGACTTTTCTAATTAAATCTAGGAGAATTTAAGAAAGTACCTTCTATGAGTAAGGCACGGGGGTCTGTGGGATTCAGGGTGGGGCATAGTTCCAGAGTCTGAAGTGTATGTAGTAACTTCCACAACCTCAATGACTCAGGGTAGTAGACTCTTGGGATCCAGAGGATTAGGCGGATGGGAACTTAGAGGTGGAGAATATTAGAATGGAAAAGGTTAAAAATGGGAGGGTCAGGAGATTGGAAGGGGGATAGAATTGCAGAGGGAGAGGAGAAGGGACCAGGGTTTTTTAAGTTTAGTTTGATCAAGAACTTATTTAATCCTAAGTGTGTCCAAACCTACTTAGTAAGTCTCAGAGAGAGACAGGAGAAAAACTGACACCCTTCTGCCTTCCAGATGATTCGAAGAGTTTCTCCATCCAAGTCCGACAGGTGGAGGATTACCCTGTGGACATCTACTACTTGATGGACCTGTCTTACTCCATGAAGGATGATCTGGGGAGCATCCAGAACCTGGGTACCCAGCTGGCCTCCAAGATGCGCGAGCTCACCAGTAACCTGCGGATTGGCTTTGGGGCCTTTGTGGACAAGCCTGCATCACCATACATGTACATCTCCCCACCAGAGGCCCTCAGAAACCCCTGCTATGAGTAAGTCTTCTTCCAGAAGTCAAGACAGGGCATGGGGGCAAAGCAGATAGGGGCAGGAGACCTTCAGAGGGAGGAAGGATTAAGCTAAGAGACAGGTTTTTTAAAGCACTGTTTGTGACATAATAAATTCCCCTTAATAATTAAATCAAGGAGAATTTAAGACGGACAATGCCTTCTACGTGGGTGCTATAGATTCAGGGTGGGACATAGTTCCAGCCTTTTCTAGAGTCCGAAGCGTAGTAACTCCATAACTTCTCCGACTCAAAGTAGTACACTCTTGGGATCCAGAGTCTACTCCTCCGCTTTCCCCCAGACAGGTTCAAGTCCTGGTTTCTATTTCTAGCTCTGGGGTAGCTTTGTTGGCTACCTTCTGGCCAAATCACATCTTCTCCCTACCTTGGTCTTCCTGTCTGGCAAGTATTGGTCTAGAGTGTAGTGTCAAAAGATCCCAAAAGCTGTTTGAAGACCTAGGAAAAAAATCCATTAGCTTCTTAGTCTTGGTCACAAATAAATTGTAGACAAGAGAATGGTAGGGGGGTAGGAATAAGATCAAAAATAGAGAGAAATTTCTGGATAAGTAGAGGAATTATGATTTCATTGTTATTTTCATCATTGTCCTCATCAAGAGTATGAGTCTTACAGGGTTAAAATGCTTATTATTTCATTGGTGGAGGTTATGAAAATCCATGCATTATAATAATTTAAAATGATGGTTTCTGAGCCTGAAAGGCACAAATTTTCTTTTTGGCTTTCAAAGTTATATGATATGCCTTTTTATGCTTCTGAGGTGTAAGGTTCCGCAGCAAAGATGTCAGCCATCAATTAAACAAACAAACCATTGGTCTGGGGACAGAAATGCTCCTGTCTGGCACAGATCTGTCAATTTAGGAACATTGTTATTGAAGAAACTTTTGCTTTATCGTTGTGTTAATGTTACTTTAGAGAAATTTGAAAAATAAGATGATAGCAACAGCAAGAGCCTCACTCTGATCTAAGTGTTCTATTTGTGTTAACTCATTTAAGCCTCACAACAACTCTTATGAGACGTGTGCTCTCATTCCCATTTTTATAGGTTAAGTATAGGGAAACTTGCCCAGGGGCCCATGACTTGTAAGTAGAGGAGCTGAGATTTGAACCAAGGCAATGTAGTCTTACAGCTCATTCCCTTATCCTCTAGACTAGCTGGGGGTAAGGTCAGTGTGGCAATTTAAGGGGTTTGGAGCCTGCACGGTCTGGGTAATTGTGGTTGTATAGAACTGGCTTGGGGATACCACTGTCCGTATTTGTTCCCCTCTTTTCCCCTCCCACTCCCACTCCCCGTGTGGCCTTTTCCATCAGGCGCTCTGCTTCAGTAGTCTTTCTCCCTTCCCAGTATGAAGACCACGTGTTTGCCCATGTTTGGCTACAAGCACGTGCTGGCGCTGACTGACCAGGTGAACCGCTTCAATGAGGAGGTGAAGAGGCAGAGTGTGTCACGGAACCGAGACGGCCCGGAGGGTGGCTTTGATGCTATCATGCAGGCTACAGTCTGTGATGTGAGTTTGGAGGGCATGGAGTGCCAGGCGTGGTTAGTGCAGATCAAATGGGGAGGAAGTGGCTCAACTGTGGGGATTTCTGTGTGAAATAAGAGATAGGAACCAAACAGAGAGCTTCATAGAGTATGAGCAATAAATTGCTCTTGATAAGCAACCTCTGCTTGTATCTGCTCCCTGGCCAGAGCTGGCAGTTTTTTGAGCCACATGGTACCAGATGTTCTCTGGGGAGAGCATCTTCCCATCTCTGGAAGACGTCAAACTGGGTTAACTTAACCTCAGCAAAGCAGGAAGGTGTTCAAAAAGGATTTCTTCTAGCCCACCCCAGCTTTGCAGATGCAGGTGGGTTTCTAGATGGCCCATGTGATTATCATTGGAAAAGTTATATTTGGAATTGAATCAAGAGTCTCTCAGCTGCTTGAACTAATCAGCTATGAGGCTGTTTTCCTAAGAGAACCGAAACCCCTAAGTTGGAAAGTTTCAGCTTGTTTTCCAAGGATGGAGACTGAGGCCCTTCATCAAGACAATTTGTTCAGACCTTCAGGTCCTTGGGTCTTTGTTTTCGGCCAATGACATGGTTAAAGTTGCTTTCTCTCTTTTGCCTTTTTTTAAAAAAACAGGAGAAGATTGGCTGGAGGAATGATGCATCCCACTTGCTGGTGTTTACCACTGATGCCAAGACCCATATAGCACTGGATGGGAGGCTGGCAGGCATTGTCCAGCCCAATGATGGGCAGTGTCACATTAACAGTGACAACCATTACTCTGCCTCCACTACCATGGTGAGGTTCTTGACCCCCTTTGGTCTCTGTTCATTATAACCAGGCAGAGTCTTTGTGTGAATATGAAAATGGCAGCATTTCCTCTGGGCAGGGGTCAGAGCTTGTTTCAGCCTCCCCTCACCCCCAACTAGATATCCTCATTCAGGGTACAACATGTACAATCACTAGAAATGGTCCTGTCTGTGAACAGTATCACCACTGTCTCCACTGCCTCCAGCACCAGCAGTAGCCTCGTAGCATCCAGAATGGCCCCGGAGGACTTTTGCAGGTCCAGCTGGAAAGCAGGCCTTCTCATCGACTGTGCATGGTTACCCCTTCTTGGGATACCATGCTCACTTGTGGTTATTGGAAGGAGATAGAGGAAAAAGAGACAAAAATCATAATGCATGGAGAGCTGGTCCTATGAGGAAAGGTTAAAGGGCTCAGAATCATTTAGCTTGAAAGAAAGAAGGCTAAAGGATGATTTAGCTGAGACGTGAGAAGACTTCTTATAAGTTGTTGTCTATGATCATAGAAGGTTAAATAAGAGGAAAGGCATTTAAATTGAAACAGGAGAAATTGATGTATGCCATAGAGAAAATGTACAGACCTCAGAATGCCGATACTCTGGGTGTCTTGGGGAAAGTGTGAACTCTTTAACTCTTAAAGACAGTATAGCAACTACCTTGTCTAGGTGGCTTAAAGGTACATCTGTGTTAAGGCAGAAACCTGAGCTGGATGATCTCATGAGTTCCCTGCAAAGTCTAGGATCCCAGGGACATGTTCACAATTCACCAATATACCCACTGTGGCTTGAATTCCTTGGTGTCAGCCATATCCAAGTAGAGTACTACCCAGCAGTGGGTGAGTCAGTAACCATTGACATCTAATCTAGGTAAGGTTCCTTACGAGGGGCTGAAGGAGATAAAGAGACTATGTGGAGGTCCTGCCCTTAGGGAGTTTTTGGTTTAGTTGAGGAGATGTGTTCCCAATAACACCAGATGCATGTTTAGTGTTAAATGGGCAGCACAGTCAATAAGGTCTCTAGGTATTCAAAGAAGGAAAGCTCATCATGAGCTGGGATGGTCAAGGAAGGCCTCCTGGAGAAGGTAGGACCTGAACTAGGTCCCTAGGCAGGAGCAGGATTACCAAAAAGGAGGCCAGTTCAGGTGGGAGAAGGAGAATGCGCCAGGTCAGTGGTAAGTGGAAGAGGGAGAGAGGTGAGTGATGATTGGAAAGGAAGGTTGGAAGGACCACATGGTGGAGTATTGCAAATGCCAAGCCAAGGCATTTGCCAGTAGTTGCAAAACAGGAGGAAGCTTCAAAACAACAAGGTCTAACAATACCTGGCCCGTGGAAGCTGCTCCTTAGTACGAATGCATCATATCTGAGTGGGAAGAAAGAGGTGCTTGGTTTCGACACCACCAGCCTGTACCTTTTCATCTATCCCTGGAGTTCCCAACTGGGTTTGTGCTGCTACTTAACCCAATGCCTCACATTGATCACAGCGTGGAAAGGTTGAAGTACCTCCACGGTCTGGGCCATGGCTCAAGTCAGCCCAGTTCTGATGCTTAGGGTCCATGGACGGATGTGAACAGGCTTCTTAACTAACCTACACATCCTTTCATTTTATAGGATTATCCCTCTCTGGGGCTGATGACCGAGAAGCTATCCCAGAAAAACATTAATCTGATCTTTGCAGTGACTGAAGAGGTGGTTAAGCTCTACAAGGTAACTACACTGTCAGGGCTTCCTGGAATGGGAGTGGGAGTGGGGCCTGTGATGGGTGGGCCTATCTCATGGAACCAGCATTGACCATGGTCCCCAATCAGGAAAGATCCTCCTACAACCTGTTCCCAGGAGCTAATGATTCCTCTCCAACCTTGAGCCTAGCAGGATGGGTGTGTTGATGTTTGCAGTGGGGTAAGTGGTGTGAGAGGTGTTCTCTAATTTCGCTCAGCATTGAAATACTGCTGGATTTGTTCCTGGGAGTGACAAGACAAATATCCATTTTTTCCCTTCAATCTTCATTTCAAGACCCTTCATCTGACGAGGGGAGGGCTTTTGGAGACCACCACCTTCATTCAGTCAGCCCTGGATATATTTGTCTTCCTTTCTAGAACTACAGTGAGCTCATCCCAGGGACCACAGTGGGAGTTCTGTCTGCTGATTCCAGCAATGTCCTCCAGCTCATTGTTGATGCTTATGGGGTAAGTGTCTTGCTCTGGGAAAGGGCCTGCTAAGAGTTCACCTCATTTGGCATTTATTCAGGAGGGCTCAGATTTGGGAGTCCTGGCTACTAGGTTACCCTGCAGCCTTCACTGCCTTCCCCTTGTTCTTCCTGGGGCCAGGGGATGGCCAATACTGGGAGGAGTTCAGCCCTCTAAGAAAGAAATGGCTCAGAATGAATGCCAGGAGCTTGGGAACAATGAGTGAAGAGCTTAGAGGAGATGGAAGGGAAAAAGAGGATGGGTGTGGGGATGAGAAAGAAGCAGAGCCCTGAAATTAGAGGCAGAGGGAGAGGGAGGGAGAGCTGAGCTCCAATAGAGAGAAAAGAAGAGCTGAGCCACAGGGAAGGTGAGGTTGATTAAAAATTAGGTAGAAATTGCTACTACCGCGGTGACCAGTATTAGCACTTCCCATTGCACATCCATGAGGTTTAGATTTTATCCAGACTTACCTAGACACAAGTGGGGAAAGAGAGGGGGAACAGGGCCTGGGCTGGAAATACAGTAGGTAACAGGCTCCTCGGAGGGCGCTCTGGTAGCTTCCCGGTGAGCCTCAGCATCTGGCACTGCAGGGTCAGTCTAGGGCCACCTGGTAGATTTTGCTTGGGATGGAACTGGCACCTACCCATTGCCTCTCAGTCCATTTCCTTACCTTCTTTTGCTCAGAAAATCCGCTCTAAAGTGGAGCTGGAGGTGCGTGACCTTCCTGAGGAGTTGTCTCTATCCTTCAACGCCACTTGTCTTAACAACGAGGTCATCCCAGGCCTCAAGTCTTGTGTTGGACTCAAGATTGGAGACACAGTAAGATGGGCTGGGCAGGGACTCACCCTGGCCTGTGCCCTGGAGTGTCTGTGGGCACCCCACCCCTTCCTCCCTGGGCCTTCTCCCTGAGGGTCATTACAGTTTAGGTGCAGTGGAGCTACCAGCTGTTTCCTCTGAGGCTTCTGTTGCCTAAACTTTCTCCGTCTGTTAAGTGAACTTCATTGTCAGGATTTTTTAAAGCTTGAATTTAGGTCACCTGTGTCTGTTTATGCACAGCTGATGGACAATGGAAATATTTCTTACCTTCAGCCCCTAACCAGTCTTCAACCTCCCCCAAAGCACAGCCTTTCTTTCCTCCACAGTGTAAAATGGCTGTGTCTTCTATAAACATTTGCTGAGCACTGACTTTGTGCCAGGCATTGTCCTAGTTGCTGAAGATTCAATAGCAAACCGAACGGGCAACAATACCCGCCGAGATGGAATTTCAGAATGCAAACGGCCACTTTGCCCCCAGTCCCTCCATGGCTTTCCCTCCATAATGGTTGGTTCTTCTCTGTTTCTGCCTGAGGGGGGAAGGGTTGGTGAAGGGGGTGGAGGAAGGAGAGGGATCTCTCTCTCTATATATCCAAATTTATATTATTTATATTATCTATATCTGTCTCCACCCATCTGTCCATCTGTCTGTCTATTCTTGGACATGCACATACCTCATTTGGTAGTGGGAAGGCACCCAGTTTGGGTATTTCTGGGCAGGGCAGAGATCAGCTTACTTCCAGGGCTGGAGTGTTAAGAGAGCCCACCTGTGTCTGAGTGTGACCTTTTCCATCCAGGTGAGCTTCAGCATTGAGGCCAAGGTGCGAGGCTGCCCCCAGGAGAAGGAAAAGTCTTTCACCATCAAGCCTGTGGGCTTCAAGGACAGCCTCACCGTCCAAGTCACCTTCAACTGTGACTGTGCCTGCCAGGCCTATGCTGAGCCTTACAGTCGCCACTGCAACAATGGCAATGGGACCTTCGAGTGTGGGGTGTGCCGCTGTGGGCCTGGCTGGCTGGGGTCCCAGTGTGAGTGCTCAGAGGAGGACTACCGCCCCTCCCAGCAGGACGAGTGCAGCCCCCAGGAGGGCCAGCCTGTCTGCAGCCAGCGGGGCGAGTGTCTCTGTGGTCAGTGTGTCTGCCACAGCAGTGACTTTGGCAAGATCACGGGCAAGTACTGCGAGTGTGATGACTTCTCCTGTGTCCGCTACAAGGGGGAGATGTGCTCAGGTGAGTAGAACTGCACACCCCTCCCACCCTGGTACTCACACACGCTCACACGTCGGGGCTCGAGGTGGGCACAGGAAGGCCTGCAGGGCAGGGCCGAGTAGATGGTGTTCCACTCCAGTGGGGGAAGACGGAAATGGGGCTCTCTTTAGCTCCTCGCAGCTCCCCGTTTCCTTGTTCATGGGGTACAGGGACGTGTGGGAAGGAGTGGGGAAACTTGCAGGCAAAGGTAGGTTTTTCTTTTCTTTCACCTGCCCTTCCCCTAATATTTTAAGTCACTGGTTCCTATTCTTTTTGAGGATATGGGTCAGCTCTTTTTTGAGGAAACAAAAGAAAAAGAAAAATCAGTGACTGATGGTAATTAAATTTTAAGTACTTATAGATTTGGAAAATACCCGATGTTAGAATATATAGTAAAATAAGTAATTGTCTTACGTGAATTTGGCTTTTCATCACAAAAAGAGTTGGAAAATAGTAATAAATAGGCAAGACATTGGAGCACATTTAATGAGCATATTTAATTGTACACTTGGAACAATGACTGGAAAATTGTAAGCTCTTATTAAATGTTGGCACTATTTGGTTATCACTATTGGTATTGCTGTTCCTCTTTGGATTCTAGATCTGTGTTGATCAAATGGTAGCCATTAGCCACATGTGGCTATTTAAAAGCAAATTAATCAATTTTAATTAAATTTAATTTAAAATTAGAAATTCAGTTCATCTCTTGCTCAGGAGCCACATGTGGCTGGTGGCTGCCGTGTTGGACAGCACAGATGTATATTGAATAGACTGCCGTAGAGAGTCCCAGCCTACTGATTAGGGATTACGATTTTGAGTCCCTCTACAGGAGACTGAGTTGTTTGTCGTCCTTCTCATTACAAAAATTCAGTATAATCTTGAGGCCCACTAATCATCTCAAACTGGCTTCTCCTGTCCCAAAGACCACTCCTCAGGTGCTTCCCAGCTAGAAGTTGAACTGATGTTAACATAGTCTTTATCTGCACTGACAGCACTCTAGGAGGCAAATCGGCCATCTGAATTGTTCCTGGGGCGCTGGGGATAGGCTTTTACTGGGCTATAACCACTGTGGATTAATCCCTCTTGTGAAAGACAGTTTGAAGACGTTTGCAAATTGATTGGGACTGGTTTATGGGTGTGTTGTGTGGCCAGTCGAACAGAGATAATTGGCTTTTACGGTGATCAAATCCCTGACCCAAGTTGGCTTCGTTTGCATTGGGGTTCTAACCAGCTGAGCTAATCCACCAGATGTTCACTTCAGCATCAGCCTTTAAAGAGGCTTGATTAGGAAGGTAAATTTTGTCATTCTAAAGCCTGTCCAAGTAATATAAAAATGGCTTCTTTTTATTATCAACATTGTTTCCTTTACTCGTGCCAACAAACTATGAGAGAGACATTGGAGAAAGAGGTTGTCAGAGTGATTAGGGGAGAGAGAGATCAGGGACACACACACACGCACACACACGCACGCACACACAGCAGTCTGAATTAAGGGATGAGGCAGGAGTTTAAGTTCATTTTAATATTTAATGCTATTTATATATCATATTCAAAGTACCAAAAGGAATAGGAAAGTTGGACATGGGAACTCCTTGTGGGGGAAGGTTGGGGCTGAAGGGGAGGGAGTTGCCGGAGGAGGGGCCTGCAGAGAGCCCACTGTGGGCACTAGGGACAGAGGGAGGTGCCCTAGGCCTCCGTGGGCTGATTGTTCCTGGTCTGGTGTGAGGTGGTGTGGGAGGGATCCCGGCAGAGTGTTTCCTTTGGCTGCCGGCCCACTGAAGCCACGGCACATAGCTGCGAGGGTCAGCAGCCCCGGTCCCTGCCTCCCACCAGCGCAAGAACAGCTTGTCCTCTATCTGCTGCAGCTAGTTCGTGAGCGAACCACAGCGGCCACTGCAGCCTCTCAAGGCTTCCCTCCCCCACTTCCTGCCAGGGCGCTGGGTGCCCACTGGTCTCAGGGCTGGACCTTGTGGTGCCATGATCACATTCCCCAGTGACAGATACTCGGATGGACACAATCATTGAGCGCCTGCCCTGTGCCGGGCACCCAGTCCATAGGGGTGAGCAGGGGTCATGCATGATTCCTGACCTCTCAGAGCTTATAGCCCAGCTCGCCATTGCCCCTCCCCAGAGCTGGTGGCCTGCGGTCTGTTGGTTGCTGCAAGCAGGGGCTCCTGAGGCAGGAGGGCTATGACTTGGCCATTCCTCTAGCCCGGGCCTTCCCTCTGCTCTCATTCCCAAAGGAGGCACTCATGGTCTTCACGGTTGGGAGTGTGTCCTTGACCTAGAGAGACTCTTACACCTGCCACATCCATGAACACAGATTGATCAGGCACCCTCGAGAGCCAGCTTCTGTGCTGTGTGCTGTAGCGATGTGGGAGAGAGAGACATGAAAAAGATGGTTTTGCCCTTCATTAACGTACCTAAAGGTAATTCACAACACGAGGCACAACCTGCCAGATCCCAGAAGAGAGGTGTCCTCAGGGAGTGTTATAGAAGTCCACTGGATAGAGACTCACGGTGGACAGGGGAAGCCTGGGTGGCTTCATGGAGGAGGTGGGATGTCAAAGGAAGGGCTGGCTCATAAAGGAGAGGAGCAGAGTGATAGCGGAGTGAGGCATCAGCTCAGAAGGTCAAGTTGTGTAGAAAGTGATTGGTTTCCTCTGGCCTGAAACATGGGCTCCTCCTTTCCTCTCCTCCTCCCCCAACCCCCCTCGTTGCTTTCCTCTCTACTTTCCTCCTCTTTCTTACACTTTCTCTTATTCCCACCCCCCTCTGACTTTCCAGTGAACCCAGACTCAGCTGCCCGGTTGCTGGAGGGGTGCCAGTCCTGTGACATTACTACACTGTGGCTTCCTTTTACGGGTCGGCCCTGCCAGGGCTTGGGGTCAGCCTGCTGGCTCTGGCCAACCACTTCCACTCCCAAGCTCCCGCCCTGGCTGGCCCAGCAGACCGTCTTCTGAAAGATCACTCTGTTTAGCTTCACAAAGGAAACGCTATGGGACAAGGGTTTCTGAGGAGGCCGGGCCTCTGAGTGCTGTTGGCCTTCCCGTCTGGGGGTCGTGGCCGAAAGCTGGGTGTAGTGGGCACTGTGGGCCCCGCTCTGCTGGCTGGCACACCCCTCCCCAGCTGCTGCTGGGCCGCTGGTAGTTGCTCAGAGCTGCCTTTTCTCGGGAGAATTGCCGTCTGCTGACAGGAGCTGTTTCGCCTTTGCTGTTGGTCATTGGCCATCAGACCTGGGCCAGTGACTGATGGATACGGGGCTACACAGGGGCAGATCCTTTGCCTCAAAGGTGGGGCTAGCTCTGGGGAGCCATTCATGCTCTGTGCCCACCGTGGGATCAGGCTGCAGGGAGTCTCCAGCTGAAACCACATTCCTGCCACCCTTTGACTCCTGCCCTGACCTGCTGCCCTCCCTCCCTCCTACTAAGTCACTTGAACGAGAGTTCTCACCACAAACTGTTCTTGTAGGGACCCCAATCTCTTTCTTCTTTCTCCACCCTCTGCCAGCCCAGCGTCTCTACTCTGCATCTCTATTGGGCAGCTGTAGCAGATGAGCTCGTGTTTCCTATCCTTCCTGGGAAACAGACGTTTCTTTCCAAGGCAGCGAAGGTGTGTGCCCTGCGTGTTGAATGCCTGTGTGGTTACTAAAGGGTGGTGCAAGGGTCACTGGCAGAGGGACCTGTAGTGGCCAAGAGGCATTAGTCAGACCCACTGGGGAGCAGGAGGTGCCAGCTTGCTGCTGTTTGAGCCTGGCCATGCACACGCTCCCCTCCAGCATCACGAGGCCCATCTGTTCTCACAGTGGCATGGTTTGCAGACCCATTCAGGTGACTTCCCCCTTGCTCCCTGCCTTTCCTCTGATTAACAATCAGATTTTTATTATTTATCCACTTCTTCCTGACTCAGAGTCCTAGGGAATGAGTCACCTTTACGCAGGTTTAGGGGCCAAGTTCTAAAGCCTTGTTAAGTGAATATTAGGGGAATATAGCGTTGAGAGTTACTGTCAGCATTCAAGCAGTATAAGCCCCACCCCAGTCTCCGATTCCTACACGCATGTAGTAAAGGGAATAGGTCTTTTCTACTAGGGCAGATGGCTCTGTACAGTAATAGGATAAGACAACACAGAGCACACGTTGGTGAATGTGTGTGTGTGTTCCCAAGAATTTAACTAGGATGTAACCTCTGTGGGAGGAGGGACCCTGCCTGTCTTACTCACTGCTGAATGTCCAGTGCCCACTAGGTGGTGTGAGCTCAGTAAATATTTGTTGAATGAATGGATAAATTAGCATTAATTGCACGCCTATTCTGTATCAGATATTATGCTAATCATTATTGATGAAAAATTAATATTTGGTGCCAGTTGGATACTGGAAATATCAGGGGGAACACTTTGTAAAGTGTACTAACCATTACGCTGTACATCTGAAACTAATACAAAATAATATTGAATATAAACTGTAATTGAAGAAAATTAATATATGTGCTCTCCCATCAAGGAGCTCACAATCTAGAAGGAGAAACAGACAGGCAAGCAAAAGGGTTGAATTTAAGGGTTATATATAAGTGCTGGCAGAACACATGGCTGACAGTTGATTTGGCCTGGGGTCAGAAGGAGTCACTGAGAGGGAGGAACATCTGAGTTGAGCCTTAAAGGGTGAGTGGGAGTTTAACAGTGGTCACAGGAGGAAAAGGCATCTAGACCGAGGGAACAGCATGAACATAAGCATGGGGATAGCATAGAGGGTGGTGAGTTCAGTGGGGTGGCTGATGTGTGGCCATGCGGGGTGGGTGCTGAGAGACGAAGCTGGAAAGCAGGCTGGGCCGCCGTCATGGAGTCAGGCCCTCTCCAGCGGCTCTGCCCCCATGGGCTGTGTGTTTTCAGGCCATGGCCAGTGCAGCTGTGGGGACTGCCTGTGTGACTCCGACTGGACCGGCTACTACTGTAACTGTACCACGCGCACGGACACCTGCATGTCCACGAACGGGCTGCTGTGCAGCGGCCGGGGCAAGTGCGAATGCGGGAGCTGCGTCTGCATCCAGCCGGGCTCCTACGGGAACAACTGTGAGAAGTGTCCCACCTGCCCGGATGCCTGCACCTTTAAGAAGTGAGTGGGCAGAGAAGTGAATTGGCTGCCAGATTTGGGTGGGGGAGGTGGAGAGGGTCCCCCAGACTAGAAGCCCCAACTCTCCAGGTTCAGCCTCTTGCTCGCCAAAGCTTTACGGGGAGGAGCCTGCTCCAGCCACATGGCTAGCTTTCCTCTTTCCCTGAAAACTTTGGGGGAAGTTGGAGGTGGAGCCAACCATGAAGGAGACAAAGTAGTACCAGCTTTACTGCAGTTGGAGAAACCCCTCTTCTAGGGTTCCTCCCTGAGTTGGGAGGAAGCTAAACCAGATAACTCCTGGGGAACGTTCCAGTGCTGACGTTCTGATTCTGTGGGAGATGTGGGGCTGGAGTTATGAAAGACACTATGGAAACCGACATTCACCGGTACAGATGCCACTCATTTGGGGGTCAGACGAAGCTTCTGGCAGCTCAAGCCCGTGGCACTACCATTTCTCCTTCCGCTTAAGAGTGGTAAGAGAAATAGCATCTGTATGGAGTCCCATGCTTAGAAGGGTCCCCTCAGCCCCCCAACTTGGTTTAATGCTCTACTGTCACTGTCTTGAAATTCTTAGTAATTTTTTAAACACAGGATTTGACATTTTCATTTTGCACTGGGTTCCTAAACTATGTGACTGGTTCTGACTTTAAGGCTCCCAGAAGTGGCATAGGATTCACTCTCCTGTCACAGTCTTGGATGGAGAAACTTAATGATGGCCCTCGCCATTGTGGCTCATTTGGTTGAGTGTTGTTCTATGCGCCTAAATGTTACACGTTCAATTCCTGGTCAGGGCACATGCCCAGGTTGTGGGCTCAGTTCCCCAGTCAGGATGCATGCAGGAGGCAGCCGATCGATGTTTCTTTCTCACATTGATGTCTCTCTCTCCCTCTCTCTCTCCCCCCCTCCCTTCCCCTCTCTCTAAAATCAATAAAAACATATTTTGGAGGGGAAAAAAAGAAATTTAATGACATTACCTGGAGGCCTCTGCCCTCCAGACCCTGAACTCCAGACTTGACTTTCTGGGCCCCAGAATTGTCTTACAGATGTTTCTGTTTGTGTGTTTTCTGAGCTGGAGCAGCTTCCTGGGTGTGTGGAGGTCAGAGCGAAACTGAAACACTCGAGGTTGCTCCTCCCTTGCCTTAATCTTGGTGTCCTCTTTCCTTAGGGAGTGTGTAGAGTGCAAGAAGTTTGACCGGGGAACCCTACACACAGAAAACACCTGCAACCGTTACTGTCGTGATGAGATTGAGTCTGTGAAGGAGCTTAGTAAGTTCAGCACGTTAGTTTTTCTGATATAATCTCAGAAACTTTCCAACTCTTATCTGTAAAATGGGAGAGTAATTTTGACCGCCAAATCCATGTCGTGCAGGCCTGATGCACAGCAGACACATAATAAAAGCTGACTTGAGAGTCCCCCTCACTTTTACTGATTTGTTCAGCAGACCCTCCCCTTTTAGCTTCCTGGAACCCACAGACTTAGCAAGGTCCTACAAATAACTTTCAAAGTGTTTACAAATCAGGCAATCCTAACTATACCTCCTCAAGGAAAAGGAGAGAAGGCAACCCATTTTAGATGAAGAAACTGAGGCACAGAGCAAAAAAGTAGTTACCCATGACAGTCTTAGCTTAGTAGGCTAGTAAGCATTTGCTAAGAATGCCAAGGCATTCAGCTTTGCTGGTATGGAGGGGAACCTTCACCCTTATGGATATGTATCCAAAATCATTACCCTGAAGCCTTTTTGGTTCTCTGGAGCCCCTAATGGAATAGACAGATAGAAATACAGTGGGGAGCAATTCTTGCCTGCAGTTATTCTGGTTTATACTTCATCTTAACTTAAAGATCATCTTTGCTTCTGTCAGCACATCTGATATGTTTTTCTGGGCCAGGTAGTATTGGGTGGTGCCGGGGAGATGGAAATCTCTCTGGAGATAGTAATCTCCCACAAAAGCAGGAAACATGTTTTCAGTGAGAGCTACAGAAAGACACAGCCAGCCAGTCAGCTTCTGGGTGGGTGGGTTACGGAAAAGAGTCAGATCTCTGGACCCTTTGGCAAATATTAGAAGCAGGGCTGGGTGAGGGTAGTGATTTGGAGACTGAGTTTAAAGAAACAAGTTTTCCTCTGGAGGAGACTGACTGTACTTGCTATGATTAGTTCAAGGAGGAGAGGCTGTTCAGGTGTGAGGTATTTTTATTATCTACACCAGATGAGTATTACAGGTTAGTTGATAAGTATTTCTATGCCCTGCCCCACCATGATAATCATAAAAATAAATGCTTATTTGTATGGAATTTTATAACTTATAAAAGTTATAAAAGTATATTTCCATGCACAATATCTTATGCTTCTCCCAACAACCTAATAAAGTAGAACTTACCTCCATTTTGAGGATGAGGAAACTGAGTCTCAGGAAAGTTAAGTAACTTGCCCAAGCAAATTAGTAGTGAGTTAAGATTAGAACTAAATCCTGAAATTTTTACTCTTTCCATGGTACTAGAATACCACTGGTTTACTAAATTAAAGGCTTATTGAGTTAAAGTTTGTAGTCTGTGCTTTGAGACTCACGCTAGTCCTACTACCTCACTTACTTGCTGTGTGACCTTGGCACATTTGCTTAATCTCACCGTGTGTCAGTTTTACCCATCAGTTTCATCAGTGTAGGCCATGGTGCAGCTGGTGGAGGGTAACCCATAGTTTCACTGTCAGAATCACAAGTTTTAGAATGAGAAGGGGTGAAGTCTACAAAATGTGATGGAGTCAGAGAAGAGAGGATGGCTCTGGAAAGCAACAGTGAGTCAGAAGCAGAAATGGAGGAACGCTAAGGGCTGAGTGAACTGTTGAGAATCATTGAGCAAGCAGAGAAGGGAATGAGAGGGAACACCCACTCTTTACTTTATGCCATTTAATTCTCACTGCTTGGTAAGGGTATAATTTCCCTTTTATAGATGAAGAAAGAGGGACTCATGGGGTCAAGTAACTTCCTGAAGATCACACAGCTGGAAGGTAGTAGAGCCAAACTTTGAATCATGATTGTGTAATACTATTATATCATGTCTCTTCCAGAGGAAGGAATAAAAACAAAAAAAGACCTATGAGGGACAAAATACATCAGTTAGGGTCATTTGGAGGCAAATTGCCAGGCACGACAACCATCTCAAATCTAGGCACCTTGCCTAATGTCAAACATGGGACTTTCTGTTGTATACTTTCACAGAAATTTCATGACTGGGGTTTTGAGGTAGCCCCATCTTCTAGGAATTGACCCTTTTTTTTTTTCATTGGCCCATCTTTCCCCCTCTCCCAGAGGACACTGGCAAAGATGCAGTGAATTGTACCTACAAGAATGAGGATGACTGTGTCATCAGATTCCAGTACTATGAAGACTCCAGTGGAAAGTCCATCCTGTATGTGGTAGAAGAGCCAGGTGAGTGGACCCTGAGGGCCCCTGGCCCTGCCCCCAGGGAGAGGGAGAACCATATTAGGCAGTTATTTCACCTGTCATGCTTCTTAAAAGGAACAGCCAGGTTAAGCCTGACCTTATAAGCAGTAAGTTAGGGCCTGCCATCTGGGTGTGGGGAATATTGAAATACAAATATTAGCAAGAAAATTATTTGCTAATTGAGGAGATAGAAAATAAGGTGGGTAAGAAGAGGAAGGTAAATATGGATCCCATGAAGGAATAAAATATATCATAGCATTTTTTTGAGTTGATAATGTTAAGAAGTAAGGAATTTAGGTTCTAGGACTTTTCAGCACAAGGCATCTGCTCTACTGTAAGTTAAATGGTTGCCAAGAGCAACCTGCTTGCTTTAAAAGAAAAAGTCAGAGTCCTGAGCCCTGCGCTATTTCCACAAAACTTTGCCTCTGTGCTCGTTAGTAATGCTCTTAGTAATTATGATGTACCCCAATATTTTGAGGTGATAATGCTTTAGATGCATCACTTCCCCCAATGAGCCTTCTCAGACTCCTCCAGCCTCATTCCACTGATGAGGTTTGGTGTTCCCGTTTGATTCTCATAGCAGCCCTGCTTTCCTTAAGGGGCCTTGATCACACTATTAAATTGCTTCTCAATCACCTGTCTTCCTCAGTAGACCATAAGCTCCATGAACACAGGAAAGGTCTGTCTTATTAATTGGTATATCCCCATACTTGGCTCAGTCATCTATACAGAAGATAATAAATGGCTTGTGAATGAATTAATAGGGCTGATTATTCCTAGGAGACAGGCAGGCTTGTATACATCTTGGTATCTATTAGGACAGTTTTGTTTTTGTTTTTTGTTTGTTTGTTTGTTTGTTTTTTAATCTTCACCCAAGGATATTTTTTCCATTGTTTTTCGGGGGGTGAGAGGTAGAAACAGAAACATCGATGTGAAAGAGACACATTGATTGGTTGCCTCCTGCATATGCCCCGACCGGGGCCGGGGATTGAGCCTGCAACCGAGGTAGATGCCCTTGGCCAGAATTGAATCCAGGACCCGTCAGTACACAGGCTGTCACTCTACTGAGCCAAACCAGCTAGAGCAGGACAATTTGGGCTGCTTGGAGAAGGAAGTAGATGAAGGTGGCAAAGGGCTGCTACATTAATGTCACCCAGCTTGTTGCTGTCGCTGTGGGTAGGGGAGAGCATGGTAGCCCATATGTGATATTGTTCATCTGCCTCTCCCAGAGCTCTCACCCTTCATAAGGGAAAAGGAAGCGAAAGAAAGGGCATCACTTTAGTTTTATTTAGCAACTCAAGGGAAAGCTGACCCGGGGAAGGGGAGAGGGAAGTCTGGGTGTGTATCTGTGGAGAGCAGATGTGAATTATTTGGACATGACTTTCTCACACTTTTCCATGCACCTGTGTTAACACACTTCACAGATTTTCCACACCCACCTTATCGGTACCTTTGCCCCTTCTCATTTCAGAAGGGTGGGCTGTGCTTGCTTTTGTTTCCAGCTGTTTTCACTAATTTATTTACATAGCTCCAGGTATATAGTCTTGCAGATCACTTCATCTCTTTGCTACCGTAATCCCTGACGGTACTCTTGCTGTATCAGTTACCAAAATCTTTTGGATGGGTGTTCTGAGACTGGAACCTTCTACTTGGAGTCATGGGGAACAAAGATGATGATAACCTGGGGTGGTACGAATAACCCCTGGCAGGGGGTAACTTTTCTGGCTTACTGACAGTAGGCCCCTCCTTCCACATTAGGAGATGGGACCCAGGCCTGCATTTCCTGTCTTTTATTGCACTGAAATTCCAAGTTCTGCCTCTCTCTCCTCTCACCCCCACCCCAAACCATTTTCAGGGGCCCTGGCTTTGAGTAAGATGTAGCATCTGGAGGAGATTATTTCCATTCTCTTCCCTAACATGCCCTTGCAGAGGCTCTCTTTGAAGGGCTGAGCCCCTGCAGGGTAGTCAGGAGAGCACTGCCAAAGGGTTTGGTATTGACTGCAAAAGGGTTTGGTATTGACTCCCTGAGCTGGGTCCTCATGGCTCCTGGATAGGATTACCTAATAAAATACAGTATGTCCATGCAATACTTGGTATATACTTATGCTAAAAAGTTATTCACTGTTATTAATTAAAATTTAATTGGACTTCCTGTACTTTTGTCAAATCTGCTAACCCTACCCAGTCTTCCCGTGGCTTCTCATCCCTGTGGCTGGGAGGGCTCTCCAGAAACTCCCTGCAGGAAGCCTGCCATTCACTCATTTTAGGACAGATGTTTAACATATCTACCCCCCTAACCCCACAAAGACCTCCTGGCATTCTACCTGTCCTGCCCATACTGACATGCAGAATTGAAGAGATTTCACTTTGGGTTTGGAGGGCCCGCCCTACTCAGTCTTCCAGAGAATTCATAATTGCTTTTCCCAGAAGAACTGGGGCCCTTCACTCCTGGGAACTCAGACATTGGAACTTACAGCTTCTCTCCAGGCGCTCCTTTAATTACAGACAGGCTGTAATTTGGTGGCTTTGGAAATTGCCAGCTTGGGTTTGTGGTGGCAGTTGTTTTGGGGTAGTATGTGGTGAGCATAGGGTGTATGTTTAGAGAAGAAGGTGGGAGACAGTGTGGAAAGTGGGTGTGACCTCCTCTCCAGACCCATCAACAGGCATATATACAAACACTTAATTACATAACACCTGAGAAGTTACTGGGGTGAGGTCACCCATCAGACACCTGTGGTTTATGCAAAGCAGAGCTCTGCTGAGCATACATATCCTGACCCTCAGGAGGATGACTCACCTCTGTCTGTGTTGATTGTTGACTGGAGTTGAAGAGGAAGTCAGCTCTCAATAGGGTTAGGATTTTAGGTGACTAAATATTTTGGGAAGGAACCCAAAATATTGTCTTGGTTGGCAGGCCGCCTGGTCTCTAAGTATGCCAAAAAGGTCATTAGATTCCCAGCCCTCAGGGATGTAAATATCTGAACCAGGGTAACAAACTCAGGTACCTACAAGAGCTAAGTAAATAAATTAGTGAAAACAGCCAGGTATAACAAGAGCACCAGTGATAATGGTAGCTGATATTTATTGTGCACCAACGCGATGCCAGACACTGTTCTGAAGTTCTTTAAATTCCTTAATTATTCCTCATAGCAAGTTTTCAAAGTCTGTGCTGCTAGTTTCTCCATTTTAAAGATGGTAAAACAGGAAACAGACACCCAGAGAGGTTACAAAATTTATCAAAGGTCACATAGCAAAGTAAGTGGTAAACCAGGATTCAAACCCATGCAGTCTGGCTCCAGAGCCCACAGTGGCACAGACTCAGTGACAAGCCACACTTTGCTAGTGGAGAAAAGAGAGAGTGGTGAGGACTGTGGCCAACATGTCCCATCTAAAAGGACAGCTGCTCCTCAGCTCTCGCCAGTTGCTGCCTTGTAAGAATATAGGCTGTGTTTCTAGGTCTTTTGATTTTTTTAAAGAATAATAATCTGGTACTTCAAGGGGAGACTCCTGAGTATTCAATATTGCCAATAAAATCACAGTTTTAGTAAGTACTGTGTGAACCCACATCGAGTAGACTAGATTCTGCCTGATTTAAACTGCTCAGGACAGATTATTGCTGTCCTAAAAGTTGCCCCCTCTCCTTTTAAAGAGTAATTGATTTTTTTTTTTTTTATAAGTCCTGTTTCCTTCAGGGAATTTTCCTTCAGATAATTTTTTAGTACTTCATTACTTTGTCAAGAAGATCTAATTTGGCCCTGGCCGTTTAGCTCAGTTGGTTAGAGCATCGTCCCGATACACTAAGGTTGCGGGCTTGATCTCCGGTCAGGGCACATACGAGAAACAATCAATGAATGCATAAATAAGTGGAGCAACAAATCAATGTTTCTTTCTCTCTCCCCTCCTCTCTCTAAAATCAATAGAATTTAAAAAGATTCTTATTTGTAGCCGGTTCAAGTGATTCCTGCTCCAATCACAACCACCCTGCTCTGTGCTCTCTCCTGACAGAGTGTCCCAAGGGCCCTGACATCCTAGTGGTCCTGCTTTCAGTGATGGGGGCCATTCTGCTCATTGGCCTCGCTACTCTGCTCATCTGGAAGCTCCTCATCACCATCCATGATCGGAAGGAGTTTGCGAAATTTGAGGAAGAGCGAGCCAGAGCAAAATGGGACACGGTGAGAGGCTAGGCTGGGTGGGCCTGGGAGTTTCCCTAAGTCGTTGGTTTGGAGCCCTAAGTGGGCGCAGCAGATGCTTACAGTGTCCAGGTGCAGCCAGTAGTTTTGCAGTTAGCCTCTGATCTGGAAACTGGGAGATGGTCTACCTGTCCCGCTGTCCTTACACTCCTGGAAGCCACCTGATTCTCTCTCTACCACCAGTGACCAGGGGCCACGTCAGTGAGCACTGACTGAGGACAGATTGGGCCTGACTCTGCTCTGAACACTGTGAAGAGATGAAAAGGAAACAATCTCCAATTGAGGGAGACAGGATAAACTTGAGAATCCTACATGAAGAATATATATACTAACATACTTCATATACTAATGGGGTTTAAAGCGTTAAACACAAACAGAAAAAATGTAGCAATAGCTGACATTTACTGAGGAGTTACCATGTACCAGGAACTGCTCTAAATGCTTTTTACAAATGAACTTATTTCATCCCCATAACAACCCTATGTGACAGGCGACATTATTATACCAATCTATAGCTAAGGCAACTGAGCACAGAGAAGTGGGAGGGTGTTAGGTTATCCCTTTATGGGCCAGCCGCTTAGAAATAGCAGCAGAATGTCATCCCATCTTACTCTTTTTTCTCAAATGACGAAAGCTTCCAAATCAGACTCCACTTTTGTGCTTCCTGCTGTTTATCTTGATTGAACCCAAACAAGCACTTTTGGGAGAAACTTCTATATACTTAATTTTACTCTATTCTCCTTTGGCTCATCTACATTTCAGCTTTTTTTCCGGATCTTCCAAATGGCCATTTGACTCCTTGACTCTCCAAGTTTAGGCTGTTTGTTCCCATTTGATGGTGACCTCAGGCCTTTGGTGACCAAGGGTTCCAAGAAACTCAGATGTTTCTGTTCAGACAATGTAGAAATCCCGAGCCTTACACTTCCTGGAAACCACCCGATTCTCTCTCTACCACCAGTGACCATGGGCCACAGTGTTCAGAGCAGAGTCGGGCCCACTCTGTGCTCAGTCAGTGCTCACTGACATGGCCCGTGGTCACTGGTGGTAGAGAGAGAATCGGGTGGTTTCCAGGAAGTGTAAGGACTCAGGATTTCTACATTGTCTAAACAGGAGGCACATGAGAATGTGTTGTTTCTTGAAACTACCACTAAGGAGCACCAGACCTTATGGGATTTGTCACTTTTTATTAGGAAATAATTTGGGAAAGCTAGTAAGGGTCTTTTTCCTGATAACATGACAGCTTGTGGGTAGTGCTCGAAGGGATGAGATGAGAACATATTCGGAATTATTTGAGCAAAAGCTGTCCTCTGTGTTCCAAACACCACCTTGTACATTTCTCTCCCTTGCCCACGTCCCCCAGCACGGTCACAATTAGGGAAGAAATGGGAAAGAGCAAAAGGAAGCGTGTTGGAGAGAGGGAGGAACTGCCGGTTAAAAGCTCTTCTGAAATGCTTGGAATCCAAAAAGGGATGGGATGAATGTAACCCTTGGAAATGGTGGCAGGATGGCATTCCATCTTCTCCTGCCCATTCCCATTTATGAGTGAACGCGCGAGTACGATCAGCATTAAGCTGCTCACTGTCTGCCTGTCCCAGAGCAGAGTGTCGTGGCAGATTTCTCGGATGAAACTAGGCCTGAGGGTAGGGCAGAACTGATTCACGGTCAGACCCTTTTCTGTTCTCTCCGCAGGCCAACAACCCACTGTATAAACAGGCCACGTCCACCTTCACCAACATCACCTACCGGGGCACTTAATCACCGGCAGCCGTCCTCAGATCACTATCAGACTGTCCCGGGATCGGGATCGTGGGCATCTCTGCCATCGTGTTTACAGGGGACAATGTCTGTGGGCAGGATCGGGGACTTGGAGTGGGGTGGGGAGGGAGAAGGTCCGTGCGTGGAAGCGTGGGTCTCTGTGCGTGCGTGCTGTGAATGGGGGAGCGTGTAATTTAAAACTCGAGATGTATCCCAGATAAGCGGAGCTCCTCGGCCTTTGTCCTCAGAACGCCGCCTTCAGGGATTCTTCCTGCTTAACCCGAGGGTGACCTGTGTCGCTGAGCAGATGTTCTTCGTTACCTCAGAGAGAAGCCAGCTTTCCTTCTCCGGCCATTCACCCTGGAGAGCAGAGCAGGGCCCAGGCCTCTCGTTCCCGAGAAAGGGTCCTGGACTCCATCCGGAGTTTATGGTTCTTGGGCCTGAGTCTCAGCAGCTGTGGTGGCAACTGCTGGGCCTCTGTCTCCCTTTCCCTCCCTCAGGCTGAAGGAGAAATCGGGAGAGCTGAATAATCGGAGCTGCCTGTACCTTTTGCCATCGCCTCGACCCAGCGTGGTTCTCTCGTAAGGGCCGTCCTTGCTACTGAATTCTTCCATCTGTTGGGAGAGAGGATGGCAGGGCCACGACGGATCATGCATGGCCTGGGGGAATGTGCCAGGGTCCCCCCGTTCAAAATGATGACCTTTCAGATTGGCAGCTCTACCCTAGAGGTTCATTTAGAAGTGTTTCACCCTTGGGCCAGCACTGCCTCTTACCTCCTACTTCCACATACTCACTGCTGTGGATGTTTGCTACATACTGGGACTTTCATGGCCAAAAGCAGTTTTCCTCCTAGGGAGGGTGCTATGGTTAGAGCCAGAGGTCTGGCCCACCCTTCAGGCCTTCTGCCCCTCGTCCAGGCACCTCCATACACCTACCCTGGGCTTTTATGTGCTACGTCCGTCCACAGGGCTGATTGCATTTATCTACCTCTGGGGTGTCTTGTGAAGGAACATTCCCACGGGTCTCTGAGTCTGCTGGGCGAAAGTGCCAGGGATGGAATGATGGGCCAGTTGTATCAGCGTGTGTGGCCCATTCTCCTGCGGGCTGGGCAACCTCATTTTAACTCAGTCGTTAATCCGAGAGGCCACAAGTGCAATTTTCTTTTCTTTTTCTCATTGGGGCACCTGAAACCACAATGAGGCTTAAACTATAGGAACATGTATATAAACACACTTGTATTATATTTGTAATTTTATTTGATGACAAGGAAGGAGAATTTAAAAAAGCCACAAAGTCTTGGGCTGGATACAGATAGCCCCACGTGGCATCATTCATAGCAAGTGACTGCCCAGTTGCTAGATCCTGGAAGCCCATGGGGATGGACTCATGGACACGCTGGACCTTTCTTGAGAAGGAGGGAAATGGGCAATAGTAATAGCAGTTGCTCCACTGGTGTTTACATTAACAGCCACCCCCAACCCCCAAGAAAAAGGGGAGGACCTGTAAACAAATGGGCTGATGATCAGAAAATCTGAGTCCTGGCCTCAGCGTTGCAGCTAAAGAATCCTTAACCTTAATTAAGGCCAGTCACTTTCCTCTCCCTGAGGCTCAGTTTTCTAGTTTGAAAAATGTTGGGTTTGGACCAGCCAGTCTAGAAGATCTCGTTCAGTGTCAGCATTCCAAGATGTTGAGATTTACTGTGGACATCAAACACACCGTGAAGATTCTGTGGAATGTGGGTATTGTTTTTTTAGTTCGGAGATCTGAAAGACCTGGCTTTGACAAGAGCAGATGTCATTCCACATCACTTTATTCATTCTATCCTGTCTTAGAGCCCTTTCTTCAACTTTTGTTAGCAGTTACATCTCCTGATGTAGTCCTTAAGCTCCACTTAGTTCCTATTTCTTAGTTCACTGCACACATTTGCATCACGTATTAGGGTAGAAGAATCCATAAGAAGTAGCTGAAATGTGTGTTTTGTAGCCAGGTGTTAACCTTGAGAATAAGCCTTGGAATTAGAAATGGGGCAAATGACTGAGCCCTGTCTCCATGGATTACACTTTACTGTAGGGCAGGGGTGGGGAACCTTTTTTTTTTGCCAAGGACCATTTGGATATTTATAACATCATTTGCAGGCCATACAAAATTATCAACTTAAAAATTAGCCTGCTATATTTGGTCAAACATTGAATTAACTCACCCATAATATGATGGCTGGAACTGCTTTTCTTTGGTGAGGTGTTGGCAAGGCCAGGTCAAATTATTTTGAGGGCCATATCATTCCTCACCCCTACTGTAGGGGATGGTAATGTAGTGAGGGATAAATGGGGGAGCGGGAGGGATGATAAGGAATCCAAGAAGTTTAGAACCTAACTAATCTTCAGCTATGGAGACAAGAGTCCATTAGAGCAGTTGTTGGACATTTTCTTTAGATAAGATGGCTTATATAAAGAAATTATATCAAAGGAGAAAGAATATGTATCCAATGGACTAAAACATCAGTAGGAATCTTGTGTGGGCTTCTGGAATGAGGTTCATAGGCCTTGAAGACCAGCCCTGTTTGTCTACATGTGGGGAGAACCTGTAGCATGTTCAGGAGAGAGCATATAGCAGTGAGTCTGGGCATCATGTAGGGTGAACATCTAAATAGTATTTTGGTATCAGATGACACAGCACACAAAGGTCACTTGTCCTCTGCTCTTTGGAGATAGTTTATGTCCAGTCTCAGGGGCTGTGGACAGTAATGGGAAACTTTAAACATTCCTGACAAGTTGACACATAAGGAGTCAGTTCTTTATCATTCAGATATTCCTACACCATCCATGATTTCAAGATACTTCTTTCTCTTCCTTAAGTATTCAAGGTCGAAATGATTTACGTGCTTTCCTGACTTCCTAACCACCTTCTCAGTTTGAGTTGTGCAATAGTGAATTAAATGTTTTCAAAAAAGAAGTGGCCTAAGGCTGCCCAGTGCTTCCTGTGTTGTTATTTCTGTTTCATTTGGGTGAAAATAATGATTATTTTAGAACAAGCATGTTTCCAAATGCAGCAGAATGATGACTGCTACCGAAACTAAAGTCAGCTTCTGAACCTAGAGCTTTTCTCCAGACTTGAATAACATTTTCAAAATGAGTAGGTTTTTACTGTTCTAAGAATTAGAGCTTTTTCCCCCCTAATTGGGGATTTTTAGGAACTTGTGTAGCCTCAACAGAACAGTCTGTCAATTTAGTCTAGGTTCTGTTTATAGGAAGCATAAATTGGTAAAGGCTTAATGGCAAGTTATTTACAGGACCATTTAAATGCCCTTTTATTTTATTTTAAAAAATATATCTTTGTTGATTTCAGAGAGAGAAAGGGAGAGGGGGAGAGAGAGATGGAAACATCAATGATGAGAGAGTCATTGATCAGCTGCCTCCTGCAACCCCCTACTGGGGATCAAGCCCACAACCCGGCCATGTGCCCTGACCAGGAATTGAACTGGGATCTCCTGGAGCATAGGTTGATTCTCAACTGCTGAGCCACGCCTGCCTGGGCTTAAATGCCCTTTTATTGAAGGCAGTGGGTCTCAAAGTGTGGTCCAAGGACCATCAGATCAGTATTACCTGGGAACTTGTTAGGAATGAAAATTGACAGGCCTCACCCCAGAACTACTGAATCAGAAAATCTGGGAGTGGGCCCAGCAGTTTGGGTTTTGATAAGCCCTCTTGGTGACTCTGTTGCATGCTCAAGTTCGAGAATCACTGATTTAAGGGTTCACATACCTATTGTCCTGGCCTAGAAAGAAGTTTCCAATAAGTCAGCTCAGTTACTAAAAGATTAAGAACATACCTTGGCTGCTAGGTTATGAAAACCAAATACTCACAAAACGAAAATCTACTTTCTATCCATTTTCCAAGTTAAATCATCAGAGGCTCTTGGGTTCACTCACAACCACAAATTCCCCAGAAAAACTAAAGGAAGTAATAGATCAGAATCAGAGGGGGGGAAAACAGCTAATAAGATACTTGGTAGGCATCTAAGAAAACCTTTTATGTGTACCAAGCTGAAGCAAGAAAATACTCTTACAACAAGTACTCACGGGAGATGGGACTAAAATCTTAATTGTTAACATTGTCATCCAATAGGATGCCAGAATAAGACATTAGACTATGTAAATTCACTTTTTGCAATTTAAAATGTATTGAGCGCCAGCAGAGTGGGATTGAAGTATTTTACAGAACACTCATAATCGTTGCCTTTGAGTCTTACATTCCTTACTAATACACATTTTTGGGAACACAATAGTGTGCGTGACTTAAAAAGATTATGTGAACATAGACTGAATCCTTTTATGGTGAAATTTTGTAACACCTATTGTTTTATTTACATTATGGTAACTGATGACTAAATGTCTGGATGAAAATGGAGGGCCTTATGTGGAAACAAAATGTAACCCCTTAACTCTTGGCCTCTGTAGTCTGAACTCTAGAGTAACAGCCATCTAATAACCACTGAGACCAATCACAAGAAGGTTGTCTTGGCACTTCAGTGCACTCATTTTTCATACTGATGTAAGGAACAAATATCAAGCCATTTAGGCCCTGGCGGGTGTGATCAATGGTTAGGGGGTCAGCCTGCGCACACAAGGGTCTTGGGTTTGATTCTGGTCAAGGGTTGCAGGTTTGATCCCTGGCCCCAATCAGGGCTCATGCAGGAGGCCACCAATTGATATGTCCCTCACATCGATGCTTCTCTCTCCCTTTCCCTCCCTTCCACACTCTCTAAAATTCAATAGAAAAAATATCCTTGGGTGAGGATTTACAAACAAACAAAAAAAGCCATTTAGTACTTGTTGAAAAATAATTTCTACTTGGTTTTATAACATATTTCTGGAAATATATATTTCTAACTTTAGTTTGACTAAAGCACATAAGGAGGCAGTTTTTAAATGCTTGTGATCAAGGTTAACCATACTGATAAATAAAAATTTTTAAAATCCATTTAATGAGGCTACCCAAGAATGGTTTCTATGTGAAAGAAAAATTATAGGCCAGGAAACATTGTGTTTGGTGAAGATGCTGTCATAATGATGTCTCTCCAACCTCTTGCATAGAAGAAACATTTTCATCAGTTGTGTATTTTCTGAGAATACACCAAAGAATGCACACAATGTAAATATCTAGAAAGCAACATTTAGGATATTTAAGAGCCTTTAAAAGGCAAAACCTCCAGTGCAGATTATTCTTGATAGGTATCCCAGAAAAGAACTTTATAAGGAAAATGTTTCACAATTCATTGTGTTTTGCCTATTAGTTGGGTTTTCCCATGACTCATATACAATTCACATTATTCTTTGGAGAGGTCAGGGTGATGGGTGTGTAAATATAATTTGGTGGTCAATGGAAATTCTTTGTTGAGAAAGGAAAAATATTGCCCTGGCCTGTTTGCTCAGTGGTTAGAACATCGGCCTGCGGACTGAAGGGTCCGGGTTTGATTCCGGAAGGGCACATACCTCGGCTGCAGGCTCGATCCCCGGCTTTATGAATACGGAAAATGGGCTGAATCCATTAATAGAGGTGACTGTAAATAGGATGGGGGTGGGGAAGTAGGGGAAAGAGGGTATTTACAAAAATAAAAGACTTGGTCTCAGCACTTAGATTACTTATAGACTATTTAGGGAGATACACCCATATACATTTTAAAAGCACTAAAGAATGCCTACATAGAGTTTAAGGTACAAAGTAGTGTCACTGAAGGAATTAACTACTGTAACATTTATTGAGCATGTTTACAATTTTTAATGATCACAATCCTGGAAGAAGGAGAAAATTGAGACGGAGAGAGCATTAGTACCTTGCCCCACTGCATTCAGTAAACAAATAGGACCTGAACTTGGATAGATCTGTCTCTAAAGCCCATGCGGTTCACCACAATGTAAACAATGGAGAGCTCAGGTTGGATGCATCAATGTGAACAAATTTCCTATATGTTTGCAAAGAAAAAATACTTCAAATCGTGGGCTTTTGGAGGAAAATATTTTCAAAACGCTCTTTGCTTGACCGAGCATATACAACTTTAGCAAATCTTACAAGTTATTAACTTCAATGAATTGGATTTAGACAACCTTGTAGGGACGTAATAGCTGGGGAAAGGCAGGAAAAACCGCTTTGTCCTTTCTTTTACTTGTATCATTTCATTTGCAGGATGCACGAAAAGAGAAAAGATTAAAACAAAAAACAAAACCCCGTCTTCCAAAAGTAAGGGTTAGTTCTCTGAAGCTTTTAACAAATTTCAGCAAAGCAGTGGGACAAACGGCTTCGAGCGGCTACTCGTTATTGAGAAGAACCAAGGAGGGTGGACCGTTTCAGAAGAAAGGGAGGGCGGGAGGTATTCCAACGGTGGACGGAAAGGAATGTCGGACCGGGTCAGACGAGGCCGAAACAGCGCCCGAAAACGAACAGGGCTGTCGGCAGAGGGAGCGCGGGACGGCGGGCGAAGCGGAGGCCCGGCGCGCAGGCGGGAAAGCAGCAGAGGGAAGCCCCGCCACCGGGTCGCGGAGCCCGGGCCAGGTGAGGTCACAGGCCCTCGTGCAGGGGGCAAACCCGCGCCCCC